GAACTGCATCAAAGTTTTGTTTAAATCAGTGATGTACCCCTTTCAGTTGGATAAGGCAGGATAAAATTTTTGAAGGAATTCTATTCCATTGGGTTACTTGGTAAGGATAGAAGCCACATTGAAAGTGTTCTGATGTAGCCCAATAACACCCTAGTTGCAAAGGTAGTAAAGCAGGTCGAATGGTGCCCTCAGTTTGTATTTGAACATGCATAACAAGACTATTTATAATCTTATAACTCAAAGAGAGCCGCATGTTCCACCCTTAGCAATTTTATTTATCTTGATCAAGCTCTCTGTACAAACAAAGAGAACTTTCCTCTTAATGTTCTTCTCCATGTTTCTGTTGAGCACCAGCAGCAGAATACTCTTGACATATCCTTTTTCCCATTTTAAATAATATTGATATTCATGTTCAAAAATTTGCAATACTTCATGTTCTCTAATCAATCATTCATCTTTTCTCAGAAATTCGAAAGCAGAATAATGGTAAGCAATGACACTTGTCATTCTCTTTTGCTTTGCTACGTTGACAACAGAAGAAGTAGAAGCAAGTGCCTAAATATGGATGAGTATGAATAGATGTTGGAAATGCTGGAAGATTGAACATCCTTCGATTTTTTCATTAATAAAGTACCTTGAGCATTCATGCACAGACATTGATCGTGATTATTGGGAAAGTGCAGCCAAAGGTCATAGGTCGCACCCATACTGTTGTTCGAAAGCATGGGCCTCCTTCATTGAAGCATTGGCTGTCGCCATTCCTGTTGCCAGTATTATACATCAGGACTCAGAGCTACTGAATGGCTTGGGTAATTTTGTATCGGAAGGAGGGATTGTTGGAAGCAAGGTACTGGATATCATAAAAAGAAAGTTTCCAGTATTGTATGACCTTGTCACATTGCTGCAAGATTTCAAATGCCTAGAGCCACTTTTAAGCATTCCCCAACTGATAATTGAGAAATCCAGTAACCCGTTCTTGAGGCAGCCCAAAATTCAAGCTGAAAGCTTACGTGGGTCAAGAGAAAAGAACGAAGAATCAGCCAGTATTGCACATTGGCCTGACCTGCCACAGAAGCGACAATGGGGACGCTACCAAATAGATGAAAACAAGGTTTCAAAAAAGCAAAATGTTAGCACCAAGAGTCTTTTGCAAGGGGTATTCACTTTGTTTTGCAAGCATGGTATCTTATAGATGTTTATTTTTCTTTTTATTCTATCCATCATATAAATTACGACAATAAATTACTGACTTCATGACCACTTAATAGCAAAAGATCATACATCAAAAAAAGGACAACTCCGAGAGAAACATAATGTGTCTACCACTCAGCCATTACATCCAGTAAAACATTACATAAAACAACAATAATTGTAACTGCTAAAAGTATACAAATATAAGAAAGGAAAATAATTTTTCTAAAAGGAGATAAGGTTTTGTGTGCCTTGTTTCGAAGTGAGAGATTTTGAGTCAACTAGCTATGTGAATAAACTTTAGGGTTTATAGTTATAGATCTTCTTTGAGTTCTTTTGGAAGTTCAATATTGCCATATAAAGCAAAAAGAACTGCATCAAAGTTTTGTTTAAATCAGTGATGTAATCAGTTGGATAAGGTAGGATAAAATTTTTGAAGGAATTCTATTCCATTGGGTTACTTGGTAAGGATAGAAGCCACATTGAAAGTGTTCTGATTGCAGCCCAATAACACCCTAGTTGCAAAGGTAGTAAAGCAGTTTGAATGGTGCCCTTAGTTTGTATTTGAACAAGCATAACAAGACTATTTATAATCTTATAACTCAAAGAGAGCCGCATGTTCCACCCTTAGCAATTTTATTTATCTTGATCAAGCTCTGTGTACAAACAAAGAGAACTTTCCTCTTAATGTTCTTCTTCATGTTTCTGTTGAGCACCAGCAGCAGAATACTCTTGACATATTATTTTTCCCATAAAGTTTGATAAATTGACACTACCACTAAATCACAGGTTTTTTTAAAATATTGAAAAAACATTCCTTTATTCCTGGTGAGGTCTAGGTTATATTTTCAATACCAAGCCAATAACAACTTTGGGCAGACAGGGTTACCGTTTGAAATAAAAATTAAAATTAAAAAGTAGGAAATTAAATTTGAAGTTGCATGTGTAAAGATATATGCTCTTGCTTCTTATATGAATGAATCCAAACGTGTTTGATAAATACGTTCTTATATCAGATTTTCCTTTTTTCGAAAATTTGTAGAGACAAAAAAACGAGAGAGACCAATCAATTTGCGCAACTACAATAAGACATGCATTATAAGCGTAGAGCCAAATTAAAAAATGGATTTATTTTAGATATATGTGTAGAGAAATTTGAAACAATAAGCCAAATAAAATCAAATATGCTCAATCTTTAGTAACATTGGCATTCATTTCTCTGGAATCAAATTGGCAGACGTGCTCTAAGAAGTACACTGACAAGCAGTGGAATTACTTTTCTTGAAGACACTTTGTTCTTCTATAGGGCGATTCGGTGTAACGTAATAAGCTTAGCGACACTTAGCAACGCTTTCTTTGGGGTGACAACAAACTCTAAACATCGTTGACAACGCACGGACGCACTGAGGTTAAACAGTATATTTTGCGCGATTTATTCACAAATTCAACATGTCTTACGAATACTTCGATTCGCTAAGTGATGAAGCAAGAAAACGCTATTTAGAACCAGTTACCTGCCGATGTTTGGGTGGACAATCCGAAGTTATGGCCTAATATCGAATATCCTGACATCTATGAATACCTTATTAATACCCCAGGTGAGTCTTTTTAATATCAGTGCTTGTATTCTTGTAAATTAACAGTTTCAGGATTTAGAAAAGGCTTTTCTAAAAATTGTTGATTGTATCATTGTCGCGATTCGGTCTGGACTGCCGGTCCATGCATAGGGCGATGCTATGTAAACGCTAGTACACCAAAGTAAAGTGGTGCCATGTTATGACAGTCAGCAATGTAGGCAAACATTTTATTGATCAAGTCAAGGATTGAATAATTTATTTCATTGGTATAACTTTGAATATAGTTATAGTAACGGCCCAGGTACATGATATGTTACTTCAAACCTTATTGCACTGAAATTTGATCAACTTACTTCAAACTTACTCTTGATAATTTTCAACTGTTAGGGGTTTACACAAAAGAGGCAATGAAGTCAAGGAAAGGACTTGAAGCCTACAATCAATTTTATTCTGGCTGGGTTGGCACTGTGAAAATTTACCAACGAGGCAGAGACCTCCCTTCCATCATGCGAGCAAGTGTTTTGCATTCACAGAGGCTCAATGAAGAAGCTCTTCAACCATGGATTGCTGCAAATTCAGAGGGTTTGGTTTTGTGTGCCCACTGTAATTGTACCTTTTAACTGCTTAGAGTTAATCTTTATATTCTTAGTTAATTGTTTTTTAAATTTGAATTTATTCAATGAAAAATGAAATTTTAAATTCTCAAAATTGAAATTATTAAATTGTCAAAAATTTCCTCCATCACCATAACATTTCCCATACTGAATTTTGTTTTTATGATCGATTCAATATTTTTTATATTTCTTTCCCTGCACTGAAAAATAAGTATTGAAAGTTTTCTTTATCATTCATTATTCAGGCTTGGTGAATCATGCTCCCACAATGGTGCACTTTTATTTAAAATTTAAGGGGCTGTTCGCTTTGGGTTTACAAAGCTGGCATGCACAGATGTTTCCTGTAAATGGAACAATGATTTTGTTAAGACAATAGAGGGAACAGAAATAGGAAACATAAAATTCCACAAGAAGAGTTCTGTAAAGAAAGCGGTAAAACGACCTTCATGTGGAATATCAACCATTGAAAGGAAACAGTTCCTTGAAGCACTCAATGGTTTGCCTAATGAGTACAAACCTGTAGGCCTTAGCCTTTTCTCAGAATGCTGCCAATCGTTCTGTCACAATGGTCAAGTGGCAGAAAGGCCTGAAATTCCCAAGAGCCTACGTGATTTTTATTGTCCCAATATCAAAGCAGAAGATGTGGCTGCCAAAATTGAGGAAATTTATTCAATCCCAATAACAGAAGCTGAGAGGGATTTCATTGAACAGTCAACCAAATCGCAAAGTAGTTCACTGATGTGGAAAGAATTAAGAGCAGGACGCATAACAGCATCTGTTGCACATAGTGTGTTACATGCCAGGGACAATAAACTTCCCAAGTCAACAATTTTAAACATTTGTATCAGTTCATCAAAACTTACTTTGCCGTCATTGGACTGGGGTAAACAGCATGAACAAACTGCTATTAAATGCTACCAAAGCAAAATTGCTAAGGACAATGTGAATTTAAATATTAAAGCTTCAGGACTGAGGTTACATGCAGAGTTCCATGTACTTGGTGCATCAGCAGATGCTATTGCTACTTGCAACTGTCATGGCAAGTTTCTTGTTGAAGTAAAGTGCCCTTACAAGCACAAGGAGGCTGATTCTTTAATCAACTGCATAGAAGATCCCAGTTTCTGTCTGAATGAAAAACTAATGTTAAAAGAGAATCATAAATATATGGCACAAGTTCAAATGCAAAAGAATGTCTACAAAGTTTACCTTTGTCATTTTGTTATTTGGACCCCAAAGTTTTGTCATGGAATTGAAATACCATACAGCAATAAATTTGAATCATCCATTCAAAAGATGTATGATCTGCATAGACAGTTCATAGCTCCTGAGATAATAACACGGTGCATTGAGAATGCAAAGGTAGAGGATGGTGAAGAAGGTGAAAAGGAAGATGTTAATGTATATTGTTATTGTCAGCAGCCCTCTAGTGATCAAATGATAGGTTGTGACAATTCTTTGTGCAAGAGGAAATGGTTCCATTTTAAGTGTGCTAAAATAAAGAGACCCCCTAAGGGCAATTGGTTCTGCAAGAATTGCAAAAAAGAGACTCGCATAAATAAACTGTTAAGTTTATGCTAACATATCACTTATTTTCTTTACATAAATATCTAGAATTGTTTCAAATGCTGCTGTTTTTATCTTTATAAACAATTCCTGTTGTGAGATTAACAAGAGCCCCACAGACTGTAACAAGTTTGTCAATATTTGGTACTTCTTCCAGTGCTTCGTTTTGTTGAGACTTTACCATGGCTAAAGGAAGAGTTCCCTGTAGAACTGAAAACTTGTTTTTCATCAAACCAATAACTCTTTCAATGTGGATACGCACATTTGCAATTTGTCTTGTAGTTTCCACTTCCTTGGGTGTGAGTTGTTTCTTACCTTTGGTGAAACTTGGGATAATGAGTTCTGCACCACAAACTGCAGCAAACTCATCCTTCAGTGTGAACCCACGATCTGCCAAGATTTCATCTCCATGCAAATGGTATTTGGTGCTAATGAAGCCTGATGCCTTGACTATTTGAATGTCAGTAGCCCTTCCACCCCATCCCTTTGATAAGAAGCTTACTGCTCCCACAGGATTACAACTTATCAAATACTTAACAGTACTATGCTTTTTATAATTTGAGTATACCTGGGCTCTTGCACGCAGTCCATATGATCTCTCTATAAATATCTCAAAGCAATCTATAATTGAGGTTAGCCTTGGAAAATATTGCTTGAAGACTGGAGGACTTATTGCACGAATATGATCTCTGCCAGGCCAGCAAATCAAAAATTTCAGCTTCTCGTACATTAGATGTACAACCTGCCAAAAAAGTAAGTTCAATGTACTTTTTGAAAAATTTGTCTGAAGGCTCAGGTACTCAAATGGCAAATTTAGCCGCAGCCTTAACATAACCATTAGTACCTGGTTAGCAGGCGGTAGGTTTTTCCTTGATTGTTTTATTGATGGGATTAGTAGCTGGCAAAATGAGTTGAAAACCTTCCAGGAGAGACCAGTAAGGTAGGTTGAAGCACTGTCATTTCCTGCAATCACCATTGGATCGTAATTTGCCAGAAGCACCTGCCAAAGGAAGAAAACTTTAAATTTTTTGAAAAATGTTGATTTAGATTGTGACAACAAAGGAACAAGTGACTTAAACAAGGTTTACAATAAAAACTAACTTAAATTGCAGTTTTATTTTAAAGGAAATATCATGATCAGACTGGCTTTTATCATTCTTCAGAGGTGTATATCAAAAGACAGCTCAGAGGAATTTACTTTTGCTATTATTTTCAAGTAATCTCTTCAATCTTCTTAAAGAATTTTGAAGGACAACTCTTTGGCAAATTGGAATTTTAGAACCTATTAAATTAGCTTTGAAAATTAACTCGAAGTTCAAAAGAAACTACAAATGAAGAAATTTAGTACCAGTCTTTAACCCTGTGAAAAATGGAAGGTAAAAGAGCATTCTTTCCTTAAAGAAACAAACCATACCTGTTGTTCAAGGCAGGTAATTTTTGTCAATAGAGTTTCCCTCTCCTTTCTCAGAAAATTGACTTCTAATGACTCATTTGGAAGTGCTTGTGGTTGAGCCTGTACATCTGGCATTTCAGTGCTTGGGCCAGCTTCAGAACTTTCTGGATGTTCAGATGTCATTCCTTGATCTTTTTCAGTCACCAAAATCTTTGTCTTGATACTACATTCAATTTTAGCCATACCCCGTTTTCTGACTCGCTCAAACCTATCTAACTTTTTGGTAGCAATGTTGCCGTCTAGAGCCTTGTGCTTAAAGACTGAAGGTACATAGTCGGGATGAGTTGGATCCCTTGATGGTTTCCCTAAATTAGGCACAAACATCAGTCAGGACGGAGGTGTACTTGATAGGAAACAAGACTGCTATTTGATAGATATAATAAACTAGACTTTTCGTACGAAATTTCGGTATAACAAGCGAAGAATTGGCCTAATCAAAACAAGAACGCCAACAAGTTGCAAATTGGTTTTGATTTAATTAATATTGAGATAAACTGCAATAAAATAAAACCATACATACCCTCTGAAAAATGGGCAGAACAAATGTACGCGTATTTGCCACCTGGAGCCCATGGAGTCCCATCTTCGTTTACGCGTTTCATTGCTTGCACCCATCGTTGCCATTTGTCCGCATTTTTTTCTCGATCAGGAAATCGATGGAAAGAAATATCCTTTTTATCCATCATATTGTGGTTTGAGCAGCCAACTGCAATGCAACTTTTCGGCATTTTCGATTTATTTAAATGTTCCAAAGTGACAATCAAGTTTGCGTACATAAACACAGCAAACACTAGGCGGCCTAGCCGATTGACCTGTTTGTATTCACCCCACGCCTGTTGCTAGGCGCAGTTGCTACGCGTTGCCGAATCGTCCTATTGGTCCTGTATCTGAATTAAATTGTCCTGATGACCTGTGCAGGTTGTATATAAGCAACGTTGGAATCCGTTGATCAATATTATATTGTTGCGATGTTATGTTGTTAGTTTAGTAAGTTTGCTTCAATAAACTTATTCTAGCTATCATCTGCTTTTAGGTGGAAAAGCCGTGGAAAATGCTTGGCATTAACCTTACTGAGCTCCCAAAAAGAGAAAGAGGGAACCAGTACCTTTTCACCTGCACTGATTATTTTGCATAATGGCCTGGAGCCTTTTCCATAAAAAGTAAAGATGCAAAAGAGATGCAAAATGGTCTCTTAAAGTTGTTCTGTCACCATGGTGCACCCAAACAGCAGCATATCATCTGCAAACGAATGGTCTGGATGAAAGAACGAATCAGACTTTAAACAGGTATTGTCTTATTACGATTTATACTTGGGTATTTAATAGTTTTTTATGTAAAGATATTTAAGTTTGATTGAGTGTAAAAAATAACTCAAGACCCTGCGGTAACTGGATAACCAGATAACCTTAAAACTGCTCCTTAACTGGCTTTGTAACCTCGGTATAAGGGAAATGTGATTTAAATGTCTTTTTGATTTATGGTCAGAGAAAAGTCTTTTTCAGAGCCGTAGCTTTTGTTGCAGATTTCTGATATCCTTTTTAAGAAACTTAACTTGAAAACCTTCTCAGCCTATGAATTGCCCGTTATATGATTTCAGTGGCAAGTGACATTCACACGTAACATGGAAATTTTCTGCAATTGGTTCGCAGACAAAAAAGGCTCTAATGCGAAATTTTTTTCTTGTTTTCTATATTTTGCCAAGAATCCTTTCTTCTTCCTAGGTAGGTAGGGCTCAAATTAGCGCATATTTTATGAGCTTATACACAGTAATTGTTGTTTTATCCCTGGTTGTTTTATAGATGCCTTCGCACATTAATGGCTGAAGATATAGAGCCTACAAACTGTAATCTCCTAATCAATCCAGTTCTGTTCTCAATAGGAACAAGCTGTAATGCTAGCACCAAGATGACACCTTTCAAAATGATGTACGACCGAGAAGCAAGAATACCCATTGAGATCAACGAAGACGATAAAGATGTAGCTGGGGTAAGATGTTTGCTTTTATAGTCATCATATCTTTACAGAAAATTTCCTTTGTTTATTATTGACGATTTTTTTAACAAAAATGAATAGGCAATTAATATTAAGAGCATTTGAACTCTTTTCCAAAAAGTATTACTAATTTCTTTGCTTTTCAAACGATTTCAATAACTTTTCTTCAAATTTTATTCGCTTCTTCTTCTTCTTCAAAGAGCTCAGATTTCTACTTCGAAGAAAATTTCCTTCCTTCTGGAAGCTCTGAAAATAGCGCAAAAAGAATTGATTTTTTATTGTCTTTGGCCCTCTCTTTGTGAATAATTTTTTTTCATTTTTTTCATTCTCTGCTGAATGCATCGTTGTATGTCGTAGAGGGTTAAAAAAAGCAAGTTGAAGTTGTTTTGTTTTCAGATGGAACTAAAGATACCAACAGAGGATCTGGTTGTCAAGTTTACTGCTAAAATTGAAGACCTACGATCACATAATGGTAAAAAGCACTTGGGCAAAGAGTTCTCCTTTACGATTCCAGGAGAACAACGGGCAAAGGAGGCAAGCTAAAGAAAGAATGGAAAGGTCCACACATAATAACAGAAATTGTTGGATATAAACACGTTAAATCAAATGGAAGGCCAACAATTAGAAACATCAAGGATTTAAAGCTGTGGCCTTTTGAAGATCCAGAAAAATTGATTCTCCAGAGAAAGCTGCCAGTCCCGAAGATTTAGGAATGAAGGATGAACTTGAAAGGGCCAACGAACAAAAATGTGATAAAGATCACGAAAAAGAAAAAGGAATGCAAAGCAAATGAACAAACAGAGAATGAGATGAAAAACGCAAACCTTGAAGAGGGGATTACAGAAAGTACAGTTAAAAAGGAAGATAAGAAAACAGAAAAATTCGAAGAATTTTTGGAGGAGAAACAAGAGTATGTAAACAATGACAAGGAACAAGCAATAAAGAAACTTGCACATCAAAGAGAAAGATACAAGAGGAACCAAAGCAAAAGGGAAAGCATTGAAAACTGACTTCCAAGATGAAGAATGGAATTATAGTATTTCTTCAGAGGAACAAGTGGGGAAAGAGAGTGCCTTTCATGAGACTCCAGAGCATATTCACACTGAAGATGAAATGGAAGTTCAAGTTGAAAATGATGAATTTATTTTTATCCAAGAAGAGGTTGTAGAAGAGGCAGAAAATTCGGCTTTTGTGCACCCGAGGACAAAATTGAGGACAATGATGAAAATACGAGATCTAATCCAGAAGTGACCTCGCCAAAAGTGCTGATAAGTGCAAAAGATAGTAAGCATGGTTTCCAATTATTTTTTGGTTGACATTATCGCGAGTGAATAGTGAGCATGGTTTCCAATTTTTTTGGTTGACATTATCGCAAATGAATTTGCTAGGTATTAAAACTTTTTATAAACCATGTTATATAAGGGGATATTGAAAGAAAAAGTTTCTTTAGAAAAACATTCTTTAGAACTTGGTACTTGGAGCTGTCTAACAGCTAGCAAAATTTCCTTTATATTTGCTAAAAAAGTCTCAAATTCTTCAAATTTTTTTCAAAAGCACGTCTTCTCTTTGCTAAAGAATGAAAATATAGATAGTAAACCATTTGTTATTTGTTGACTGGACATTTGACCAACTTTCATCAATTCATAGACTATTGGTATTTTACTTTTTTGGTGCCCAACATTGTTCAGATGGCGCAGTAGATGAACAGGAGACATGAGAAGTTGTAGCCTACGTGGTGGAACCCCCTTGCAAACAAAGATAGGGTCTATGAATTAATGAGGCAAAGCTTGCTACAGGCCGTTCTCAAATTCTGGAACTTAATTTATGAGAGAGCATTAATACTTGCATAATCAAGGACATGCAAAACGAATGACAGTATGATCAGGTGTGGCAGAGTTTGATGTAACAATATTCGCGTAGGCATTGGGTATTGTGTGTATATCTTTGCAATTTGCGTTTCAAAACACAAGATACATCAAGCAACATCTGTATTCACCACTATTAGTTCATTCATAATCAATTAGAAAGGGGGCCTTTCAATTGACTTTGGTTCATTTAACACCTCATTGAGCTTGACAAAGATAGCCCCAATGGGATCTGGGAATGATCAATTATGAAAAATATTTGCGCATAATTTGATAACGGCCCATAACAAGCTTTGCCTCATTAATTCGTAGAGCCTATCTTCGTTTGGTAGACCCTATCTTCAGCTAGAGAAGCAGTGGATGATCTTGCAAAAGGTTTTGTAAAGGAATTAACGAATTCCAGAAATAATGTTTGTGCCTGCAGAGAATTCTTAGATGAAATAAGAAGAACTACATTCCTACTAGAAGACAATCATAATTTGATGGAAGAATTGAGAGAGCACCTCACCACAATGCAGGCTTAACTCTTTAATTCTGTGCCCCAAAAAATGTGGCATTCCTTTGACAAAGAGTGAAAACAAGAAAGGCAATGACAAAGATAAAGAGTGAGCAGTTCCTTTCACTTCCTCGCAGGAAGCGCAAAGTAAAATTTGGTGGGAGAGTAGGTCAGAGAAAAGAAAAGATTGTAATGAATGTTAGCAGTTCCTTTCACTTCCTCGCAGGAAGCGCAAAGTAAAATTTGGTGGGAGAGTAGGTCAGAGAAAAGAAAAGATTGAAATGAATGTTAGCGAGGTGGACAACCATGGCGATATTGAGACTGAATCATAACTACTGAAAGAGATCAAGAAAGTGACTCATTGTCTGAAAAAAGATGAAGGATGCCAAAACAGCCAATCGTGGTCGATTGAAAAGAAACAAAACCTGGCCATCAAAGAGCTAGAGAAACATTTTGTAAGGGAAGCGATCTTGTCATGGGAAATTAGGAAAGCACACCAAGAAAGGCTGCAAAATTCAATGTCGATGAAATCCGTTCATGAATCTATAAGAACCCTCATTAATGGTGGAGATTTAAGAAACATTGGCCTTAAAAATTTTTTGACAGGGAATGTAATTGCAGTTCTGCAGAAAATTATTAAGGACCAATATCCAGGAAACATTGGCCTGCAGGATCCTTTGTGTGGTATCCGTTTAAAATTCAAGGCCTATGAGGCCCTTTGTCCAAACACTGCATGATGGAAGCTACCACTGGGTGACTGTCAGCACTTTCCACTGCAAACCTGGAGAAGCTATTTAAATGGATAGCCTTTTTAATTGAAAGATAAAACAAAATTTGCTTCAACAGATATGCTCTTTAGTACGCCATGAAAAGAACTCTCTTACAATAAAGGTCATTCCAGTTCAACAACAAAAGGACTCAGTCGACTGTGGTCTCTTTGCTATTGCTTTTGCTCATTACATCGTAGTTCACAAAGAATATCCATGCAGTGTAAACTTCAACCAAATGGTGATGCGACAGGCACTGGCAGCAAATCAACTGGACTTGTTTCCAACCACCAATGAAGAAGCAAAACAGAATGCAGATAAAATCATCGAAGTTGATCTTTATTGCACTTGATGCTTCCTTGGTTTTCTAGTGGTGGGAGAAAAGTAGAGAGATATTAGAAACATTTGTAATCAGCTTCCTTTATTAAAAATTCAAATGAAATGAAAAATAACGAAATGTTAGAAAGGTTGCAATCCTATCTATATACCTGAAGAACATTTACACAATTCTGATTTTATCATTTAAAAACAAACATATTCTATTTACAGGCATATGGCACAATGCAGTGGCTGTGGTGAATTTTTTCATAGAGAATGCCAGAGAATATCAAAAGCAGTTTTCAAAAATGAAGATACTACCTGGTATTGTCCAAAGTGCAACCAACATCAGGATACAGTTATTCAACATACTCTTAGTCAACAAACTGAAACCTTCTGATGGCCACTATGGCCACCTTGGTATGGTCGTACCTGACTGCCACAGAAATATCTCCCCCTTTTCAGAATTTGAATTTAAAACTGTTAAGCAAAGCAAATCTGTACTTATTGGGGAGATGAGTTCAAGCTAGTTCGAGAGAGTAAAATGCTTGCCCCCGTTTTGGGGCAATAGCGCATGCATATTATAAATCTAGAGTCAAAGATCCAACAGGCACATAACCCCCGAGAAAGGAACAAAACATTGATCGTAGGCCAGTTGGTAACCGTATCATTTCTTCGTCTGTTGTGTCATGTTATAGCAATTATCGAGTATAATTTGCGATGGATGAGATTAATAAGGATGGCATTAGAAAATCCCGTTTTCTTGGTGTTTTTCTATTTGAAATGGAAGAGGTATGCACACGCTGGAAAGTAAGAAACTGCTTGGTGAAAGTATATGAAGTGTGTATTCTGAATTTTATGTTATTCCCTTCTTCCAAACCAACATTGATAAAGAGAAATTCACTGGCCACAGAAGTGGCGCAAGTCAAGTTCAATGCATAACATCTGTTGGAGACATCCATTTTATCATATATGCTTAGATAATTTCAAATAAAATATATCTCGTATATGCAGATGCCACACTTGCCGAAAGGGTTCACAGTACGACAGGGAATGGAAATAAAAAAATAATTATTAACCCAAAAATACGCCATTAACAGCTCAGACTGTAACAACTGTTTTAAAAGGAAGCCGAAGCAAATGACCACACCAGTTGAAATCAATGTTTTCATCTTGCTAGTTTTATCACGTATATAATATATAACTTTATAATAACTGTGTATTAATAAGAAGTGATCACTTCCACTAAGGATTTGGCTGCTAATAGATACTGCATTTGTTGGAATTGCTTGTCTTACATAATTTGTTGATGCAGCTCATGATTTCTTATATACAGTTCATAATTGGTATATACACTTAACTTGCAATCAGATTTCTTATATACTGTTCATAATTGGCATCTTAAGAAATTTAATTCTATTAAGCATAAGGCTGTAGTTATGGATAATACCACAGCCTAAAGTTAAATCTGGCTGTCTTTTGTCAGGACCTGATCCTCATGACCTGCCTAGTATGGGTATCCCTTGCTGGAACCTGAATTCCACCTTGTAAAGCTCATAGAGTAAAAGAAGTCACTCAAGCATCTTCACCACATCAAGGTAACAGCTCTTGAAGATGTCTTTTTACAAACAGAACACAACACTAGTTTAACAAAACACAGCAATAAGGCTTTCAGAACAAAACAAGATTATAGAGGTTTTAATTAACAAACAGTTGCCTATAACTCAAACTTGGCAAAATATCAAGCTTATTTATAGCTATTTACAAAATACAACTCAGAAACTCGGTGCCTTTGAACCCAATCGTCAAAGGTGAACAAATCAGATTCAGTTTCTTGACTCGTGTCAGAATGCAACTGAGTATCTCAAACAATATTAAATTCTAATTCCCCATCCATTTCCCCCATCCATTAAATATATTTTCTGCTGTCATATTCATAGAAATTCCATTGCCTTCAACGGGAGTTGATGTTTCAGCAAATAATTGATCTTGTATCTCACCAACAGAAAGCTCTGTGTCTTGCTCATCACAGACACACATATTTCCAACAATGAATTTATCTGGAATGAGATTTTTGTCGACTTTGCTCAAAATATCAGGTTCCAAATCCTCATTCTCATCTATATTCAAATTAAGCTTAGGTCTTAGCCCTCCCTTGCATTCTTCAAACCCAAACTCAACAGGGTTAGGGTAAACTATTTTCTCACTAAATATCTGATCATATTCATATGCTTGAACTCCTTCCTGGCAACATTCCCTAAAAACATTTAGAGCCAATGTTTTTGTCACATATCTTAGTCCAGGATTTTTATCATTTCCTGTGTAAATGCTCAGTGCACCAAGACTTTCCAAAAGAAATATTGTGTTCTTAAAGCAGCCAGCAGAGACTAGATCTTCATACAGTTTCCAAACATCAATAAAGAAATTCATCTTCACCCTTGAATTCTTGGCTTTAAATTCCTCTACACTATCTCCTTCTTTTGCCTTTTTGGTAGGCTTTCCTGTCTCAAAATCAACTAATTTGTTGTGAATAGAGCAGTAGAGTTTTATAGAATTTGTCACAATCAACTTTCTGATCAGGTTATGTTTTAGTAAAAGAATTGTGACATTATCTGTTTCAGGACAATTGATGACAATAGATTTTCCTTTTCACTTCTGTTTTACAATAAAAATCTGTCTAGTGCAAAAAAGACTGCTGTGTCAGGTTAAGGATGGTAACAGCTGTAGTCATATGTAGAAAGAAAAAGATTTCCAATGCCATCAACTGAATAGGAATCAGAAATACCACAGTTGCCACCAATAACTACATGAGTGAAATTATTTGGGAGATTCTGTGGCTGTAAGAAAGTTATATCCTGACATGCTCTAACATAAGCAGTAATAATTTTCTGGTGACCATTGTCTCTGTCTAACCATCTAGTTGCATAGGACTTGATGAGCTTATTTTGATCCACCTGCACACATCAAGAGGGGAAGTAAGCACAAATGTTCTTGTTGCTTCAGTACAGCCTTTAGTCTGATCTGCACGCCGATCAAAAGTTTGAATGAAAGTAAAATGTGTGCTTTTGTTGGCATATTTATGTGCAAATGGAATCACAGTTTCTTTGATCATTCTAAAGCACATCTCTTTGTAAGAACAAATTGGGATCTTCAGGCTTCTAAAATCAAACATGCAGTCTCTAATCATACAAGTGACATTTTTCAGGTTGTCAGTGGCAGATTCAAAGGATTGAGAATTCAAAAAAGATGACTCAGAAGATTTGAAGAGCCACAAAGTCAAGTCAGACTTTTTGGCAAAATGTAGACTGGCACCATCCTTTTTCAGTAACTGAATAGGCTTACTGGTGTCAGACATGGACACTTGCATGCCAGTAGACTGCAGTAAGAGTTCAGACATCACCTCAACTTGTTGTTTAGCGTGATTAAGATCAGCTTTCTGTTGTCTTTTTGTTGGAGATCTCTGTACAGTTAAGATTTCAGGAAATTTTGGATTTTCTAACTTATCACAGAAACAAACTTATCAACCCTTTTTTCCCTAATTTCCTGAAGATTAGTTAAATCAAAATTTATGCTCTCGTTGATTGAATGTAGGACATGCATTTCTTTAGGAAAAAAATCATCTGCTTTATGTTTCAAGAGACTGTTGAATACTTTCTCCAAACCCTTTTGCCAACAAGCTCTTAGACAAATAAAAGAGGTGATTTTCAATCTATGGGTTGGAGGTTTTGCTTTATATTCTGCTATCCTAAGTTCTGTTTTCAGATTATTGTGGCAGAGCTCTCTTTCCTGTATCATGGATGCCTTATTTAGTACATTCTGCACTGTACCAAGTTTAAAACAGTTTTTTGCACTCTTATTAAAAAGTGCTTAAAGGTTTTGATCTAGAGGTCTGCAGTGTCCTGGCTCAGATGATTTGTTTGAAACCCACAGTGTTCTGACATTGGATTCTTCGAAAGGTCTTAATAAAAACATATCTCGAACATGATAACAAAGGGCAGGACCATAGTTAAAGCTCCGTGACAATTTTGGTAAAGAGCATATCCAGATCAAAGTCTCTACTCTATTCTCTATTCAAGAAACCCAAGTACAGAAAGCCCTTCAAGTAGTTAATAATTACTTTCAACTCTGGTTGATATTTTGCAAAATGTTCACAGAACTCCTTTACTTGCTCTAAGTTTGTAATCTTATTTTCATATTTCTGTATTGCTCCCAGTAGTTCAGTTATGCCAGCCAAAATGTCATGATAATAAAACTGATTCGAAGAATCAAAATCTTTCATAGATAGCAAATACTGGATTTTACATGCACTTTGGTTATCTAGAAAGGCAGCTGCATGCTTCTCAATATGAAATTTGCCATACCGCTTTACTAGTTTTTCATGCAAATTGGCAAGTTTATGGAAAGACCCAGAGGAATAGTGTTGATATCCATGAGTAGCGCAAAGGATTCAAATGGAGAAGTTGATCTAGATGTGCCCAAACCTGATAATCTGCTCCAAATGTTATACATTTTGAAACTGGAGGGTAATCGATCCAACTGAAGGGGTGATCAAGAAGTGATACAAATGAAAACATCCAAATAAATAAGGTCTCTGCAGATTGCTCAATCTCAGTTTGAAACATGTCAAATTTCATTGTATTCCTCAATAAATGATCTTTTGGAAAAAATTCATTATTCCAGAACTTGTCAAATTCACTTATCTCAATATTCTTTACACTAACACACTGAGCCAGATATTAATTGAAATTAATAAGCATATATGATACACTCTTGCAACCAGTAGTTTCATCAATAATTTTTAAAGCCTTATCAAAATAAACCATGGCCACTTCAAATTCATTGTTTGCGGCTTTCAACACAGCCAGTTGGTTAAGGACCTTTCCGAGGATACTATGATATTCTGGCAAAACTTTGTCTGAATAATCACAGCAAAGCTGTGCCCTTTCTAAAGCTTCTGAAAAATTACCCTGGCATGCTAAAGTAGAGCTAGCAAGGCTATGTGTTGCAATTCTATGATATTGGTCAATTATATTGCCTTCTTTAAATACTACAGCATCCAATGTGTTTTTACTTTGATCCATAGTCTATAGAATTGGGACGGTCTGGAAACCTTTTGTCTTGATAAAAGGAAGCTGCCTCGGATGTTGAGGCAACTAGTTTCCAGGTCCTTCACAAGATCGAATGTGCACAAGGAAGTCAAAGAGATGGAGTTGGAGAGTGAACTAAATGATTGCGATATAATCTTGCAGTTGCTCGATGAAAACTCCGCTGAACTTCAATTAGATTTTGAGCGGGCAGTAGATGAGGTAGGTTATGTTTTGTTTCCATCATTGTGCCTTACTTGCTATCGGTCACAACTAGGCCATAATGAATTAGATATTAACATTTAGATATTATGAATTAAATAATTCAACGCTACTTTACATGATACGTAAATGATGAACATAAATAACAAATAAACTCATGATTTACCGTATAGGCAAATTCAATTAAACAGTTGGAGCGTTAGGGTAAAAACCTCAAGTACAATTTTCACCCTTTCAGTTTACTGTTTTAGGCCTTCTAGAGCTAGGTAGCCATAGAGTTTTACAGAATGTTTGCTCAATCTTGGCTAGCTGTAAATTTTCATTTTATACACAGGTTCAAGAGAACATTGTGGAGTGCCCTGATTGTCAAAAAGTCTATAAAACGAAAGGGGGACGCAGAAGACATCAAAAGGCAAAACATCCTGATTCTGGTCATAAGTCTGAGTCTCCAGAACTTGACCTTACACAGTATATTTATGAAAACTTGGTGAATAATGGGGCCAAATCATTAGCGTCTGACCTTTGTCTTCCTCCAGCAGAAAGGGCAGCATTTTGGTCATACACATTCAAAGTAGATAACTGTCATGCAACAAATGGACTTCACTTGGCTCAGAAATTGTTCAAAGTTTTGGTGCATAAAGCAAATGCTGCTAAGTTTTACAAGATATTTTATGCCCAATTTGTAGCTAAAGCAAATTCATACCTCCAAGAATTGTCAGAGCCACAAGCAGTTTTCCTTGCAATGAAATTGGCAGACAGTCTACTTGCAGTACAGGAAGAGCAAAAACCCTCTGCAGACATGGGAATGCCTCAGGTTAAAATAACAGAAAAAGAAAAGTTGGCAATGCAGTATCTAGGTGGATATGTGCTTTCTAACCTTAACAACAAGAAGTTTCATCATGCACGGTTTTATTCTAAATTAGAAAGCCAAGACTGCATAATGATTCTTCGAGCTGGAAGATGTCAGGATGATTCATCTCAAAAGTGTACTGGAAAAGCACGTCGCTGTTTTGCAAAAATCAAATGATGATGGTGAACAATATCAATGTAGACTTTGTCTACGTATAAGCGGTATTGATCTGCCAACATCAGGGAAAAGTGAATCAAGCGAAGAATGTCTTAAAAAGGTAAGGGAGGTTTTCGATGAGATTGGCGTCGACGTACCAGAGTCTGCTTGATCGTGCTCGTGAAACGGTCATGAATCGTTTGCATTCGCAGACATTAATTGCAATTTGTGCTGGTTTAGGAGGGGAGAATTTATTTATTTTAAAGATGTGGAAGATCTTGAGAGGCTGAGAAACAATGATTTTAGATAGGTTAAACTCGTTTCTTTAGACATGGCTGTCTTTTGTCGTTGTTGTTTTTTTTATTATTTTTTTTAAATTGTTTTTCGAAACCGTAATCCTCGAGGGGCTTAGAAAATTGTATATTAATGTAATTGCTGCAATTGCTCCATTAAGCTGCCACCTTCCGTTTTATACGTTATTTTAAATCACGATTCAAGATGCCTCGAGACATTTCGATTACAAATGACGAATTGATGCAGTAACATATCTATTGTCAACAGCACGCCCCTTTTTGTTAAAACGCGTAGATTCAATCTAAATGACTAAC